AAAATAAAAAATAAAAAAATAAAAAAATTAATAAATAAATAAAAATACACAAATAAAATAATAAAATAAAATAAAATGAAATAAAAATATATGTATATATAAATAAATAAAAGTAAAAAAGAAAGGGACAAGAAGTGGGGGAAATGAAGGGGAAAATGACTAAAAAAGGACCATCTGGAACATAGGAATAACAGCGGGTCTAACCCTCCACCATACTTATAGCTTTTCTCCATTCCTTTCTAAGACATACTGTCCGCCAATCTATATCCCACTCCATTAAATCTTGTTTTACTACTTTTCCCCAAGCAAGCTTCGGCCTACCTCTGCCTCTTTTTGTGTTTAGCTCTTGGTAACAAACTTCTGTTCTTACAGGAGCATCCATGGGTCTTCTCATCACGTGCCCAAACCACCTCAATCTATGTTCTCTCATCTTCTCGGCTACCGGTACTACTCCGACCTTTCGTCGAATATCTTCATTTCTTATCTTATCCATCCTTGTGTACCCACACATCCACCTTAACATCCTCATCTCTGCTACTCCCATCTTATGCTCATGTTGCCTATGTGCTGGCCAGCATTCCGCTCCATATAGCATTGTCGGTCGTACTGTCGTTTTATAGAATTTTCCTTTTAATAAGTTGTCACCAAAGTAAACAACTTATTAAAATCTGGAAGTGCCAGCACTGGTACAGTACACATAGCTGATTTGAGCTTATCAAAGGCCACTTAGGCTTGTTCACACCAATTGAAATTGTCTTTCTTTAACAACTCAGTCAATGGCTTAGCTATCTTACCATAATCTTTTACGAATTTACGGTAATAGCCAGTTAAACCCAAAAAACCCTTAACCCTTTAACATCTTTAGGATAAGGCCACTGGAGCATAACTTGTACTTTTCTTGGATCAGCACTGACTCCTTCGGAAGAGATAATGTGACCTAAGTATTCCACTTGTGGTAAAGCAAAGCAACATTTCTTGCGGTTAGCCACTAATTTGTTGGTCCTCAATGCTTCAAACACAGCTCTAAGATGCTCCATATGATCAGTTATGTTACAACTATAGATTAAGATGTCATAAAAAAAAACCAAAACAAATTTACGAAGAAATGGTTTTAGAACCTCATTCATCAGGGAGTTGAATGTGGAGGGTGCGTTAGTGAGCTCAAAAGGCATCACAACATACTCATAATGACCCTCGTGCGTCCTGAAAGCGGTTTTTGGAATATCAACCTCCTTCATCCTAATCTGATGATACCCAGATTTAAGGTCCAACTTCGAGAACACCTGAGATCCCCCCAATTCATCCAATAACTCCTCAATGACAGGGATTGGAAATTTGTCTAAAGATCTATAATCCACACAAGCTCTCCAACTTCCATCTTTTTTCCTTACTAAAATTATAGGACAAGAATAGGGGCTGACACTGGTTCTAATGAACCCAGAATTAAGCAACTCAGATACCTATTTCTCTATAATAGCTTTCTGATAGTAAGGATACCTGTATGGTCTCCTATTTGGAATCTCACTACCTGCCTTGAGATTAATTGCGTGATCCTGTCTCCTCGGTGGTGGTAACTCCTTGAGTTCTCGAAATAACTCCTCAAACTCGCACAACAACTGGTCGAGTTCAGGCCAGAGAACTTCCAGTTTGGCCTCTGTCGTAGCTGTCCAATGTTGGTCTACCACGAACCCTTGCCCTTCCTCAGTCAATGCTTTGACCATAGAACGAAGAGAAGTAGTAGCTTTATTATTTGACAGAATCGGATCACCCTTCAGCTCGATCTCTTTGCCCCCCAACGCAAACCTTTAACGTTAGTTTGTTGAAGTCAGCCTTCATTTCTCCCCAACTCTTCAACCAGTCCAGCCCAAGGATAACTTCAACCCCAGCTAACTCGAATAGGAACAGATCCTGTGGAGATCTGGCCCCTTGAAGATCAACGTCAACTGCTCGGCACACACCTTGACAATCCACCTTGTACCCATCTCCGACTTCTACTTTGTAACTGGGAGTATCTTCCACCGTCAGCTGTAGACGCTCCACTACAGTCTTGGCCACGAAATTATGGGACGCCCCACAATCCACCATCATCACCACTCTTTCTCCCTGAATAGACCCCCAAAATTTCATGGTTTGGTTCGAAGAGAGCCCTAATAAACTATACATGGATAGTTGCAGCGCGAGCTCTTCCCCGGTCGGTTGAGCTTCCTCGGGTTTGTCTTCTTCATGACCCATAACTTCTTCACCTCCCTCTCTTTCATCGTCGATAATCAAGAGGTTAAGCTGCGGAAATTTGCAACGATGGGTTGGGTTCCATCGTTCTCCGCATTTGAAACATAGCCCTTTCTTGGATCGGTCATGAAGTCCAGCTTGAGATAATCTCCTTCCGTCAACCCTAGAAGCCAAACTTCCCACGCTTTTAGTGACACGAACCCCCCCACTGAGATTGTCCTGAGAATTGTGTGTTGCTGGAGAAGTTCGCGTGTCCCCTCCCCTAGCACTCTCGCTGTTACGCGTGTCCTGTGATGGGCCAACTGGGTTTAAGTTATTCATGTGCCTCGCATTTGCTGACCAAGAGTTGCGATTGGGCTGAGGAAAACGATTGGGCCTAGCCCATTTACTACCTATTCCAAACCCATCGTGGATCCAAGCCTGATTCCTTTTCTCCAATAGTGTCGTCTCCTTCATCAATTCTCCCAAATTGGTGATGTTCTTCTGTAATAACTCCGTTCTCAACGCCTCCTTCAACCCACGGAGTCAAATCTCTTTTAACATTTGGTCATCCGCATAATGCAACAGACTTATGATCTTTTCAAATTCATCACGAAACGCTGCAACGCTTCCGGTTTGTCGGAGGCTCATCAATGTTTGATACGGGCTACCCATGGTTTCCATGGTAAATCTCTCCAGTATCTCTGTTCTAAAATCCATCCAGGTGCAGTTGGGATTGTTCCTTTCCCACACTTGGAACCAATTAAGAGCAGCACCATCCAAAACCACCATGATAACATTAATCTTCTCCTGATCACCAATACGATTTACCAGAAATTATCGTTCTACCTTAGTCAGCCAGGAATACACCTCTTCTCCACTGAATCTGGGCATTTCTAAATGCACGGTTCTTGCTCCCCCCATCACATTTTCATCTCTGTTGTCATCCCACTTAGATTCCGTTGATGTGTGGCTTCTCCGACGAGAACGCCCACGCCGACGACGTCCTCCTTGACTACGACTATCGCTGTTTCGTCGATCTCCTTCTAACATCTGAAGAATCTCCGTCAACCTTTGGTCAGTCCTTCTATGACGTTCCTCTGCCAATTCTTCATTCTGACGGAAATGTGCGTCCATAGCTTCAATTCGTGCATCCATATTTCTAGTCACTACCATTGAAAACACCCTTGGATCAGAATGCCCTGATACCATTTGATAAGAACCTTGGGATGCACCACCCCAAAAGCTAGCTCAAAGGGTGGGAGTGCCCAAGGCCTTATAAACCCCACATTAGTTGCCCATACAACTAATGTGGGACTCCAAGTCCCATACCTTGCAAATGGGTCCCTAACATTCCACCACACTCCGCAGTTCCGGCGCCCACGCTGGCTGGCTTTACGCTAGTCTTTTACTAGCCCCAGGCGAACACTGCAATGCCCACGTCACCACCCGCGCCGCTCGATTGCAACCGGGAGACATAGTGGAAGGCTCTGATACTAGTTGATACAACTGGTAAAGAGAATGACATAAAATAAGAAGAATCACACAAGTTTTTGGGTCCAGAAGCAACAACTCCTGGGTTTTCTGATATTAATGGATGGAAATTACAATACGGAAATTAAAAGCATGTCACTAAGAAAACAATAACGAATTAAAGAAACTACAGTTCAACACAATTAGAGAGGTGTTGATTCTCTCCCAATTCCAATTCCAAGTTCCAGTCTGCATTTCCTCCACCACGCTTGGCCTCAAATAACCATCTCCTCAAGCCACGTCATGATTCTCTTCTCTCTCCGAGCCCACCCTTCTAACGGAATTGCTCTCCTTATTTCCTTCTAGAATATTCACTGCTGAGTCAGCTATCCCCATTGTTCCCTTGTGACGTTTCCTAGAATAAACCTTTGTTACCATCGTATCATAGGCTAAGGAAAAAAGAAGTAAAAAAGCATAATAAATACCTCTCCATCAATTGTTAAAAGTGATGACAGAGAGTTGAGAGAATAGAGAATGGAGAGATGAGAGACATAAGAGAGTGGGTAGAGGGTTTTAGAATAAAAACCCGGTTACAAGACCCTAAAGCTCATACAAAATGGCTGTTGGAAATTTCAAATGAGGGCAAGGATGGAAATTCATGTTGTTTCCCTATTGCAGAGGAATAGCATGGGGAAACGCAAATAATTGCGGCCGCAACAACTTCTTGTTGCGGTACGGTGCGACCAGTAGTGGCCACCGTCCATTGCCTGCTACCGTCACGGGATTGCGTGCAATGCGGCACAATTGATAAAACTGAGACAAAATTGAGATGAAGAGTGCTTGGTAAGTGACAACCCAAGCAATTCAGCCAATCGTTGCAAATGTTATGTCTTCTTCACAATAATCCATTTTCTTCTCCAATTTTATACTACAAGCCCAATGCTATAATACTGCAAACTTAAAACAGTTGTTCACTTGCTGGAGATATAATATCATTCTTGAGCTTTCACCTAATGTCTCTCTTAACATAACCCCCTCATGCTAGAGCTCTTTTGGCTCTAAAAGTGGACAATGCATACATCCATTTTATTAGAAGAATCAGGATAGCAAGGATCAAAATCCTAACCATTTTGTTATAAAGGCTTTAATATTATGTTAAGGACCAAATCCTAAAAGCTAAAGCCATTAGCTAAAATGCTTATGATTGGTTTTATATCTATAACAACAACAATAATCTTCAGTATAGGAAAGTCATTTGGTAAAATGCTTATGATTGGTACAACCAAATGCATATTTATTTGCAACAACAATGTCTCCAGGGACGTTTTAAGTACCAGCCCAACCAAGTTAGAGCTTTTGGTATGATTGCTGGTGGCACTGGCATCACCCCAATGTTTCAGGTATGTATAAGTAAAAGTATTGTTGAGCTTCTGTGCCTTCCCTTCATATTTCATTTTTTACATTTTGAAACTTTTGGATCGGTAATAATTATATTTTTCCCCTTTTTCTTGAGGTTACAAGAGCTATACTAGAAAACCCACAGGACAAAACTAACATAAATCTGATATATGCCAATGTCACATACGAAGACATTCTTCTAAAGGTAAATCTTCTAAACCTTCTTCCTCGTGTGCATTCCTATGTGGCTTACATCTTTTATACATATCAAATTTTTTAGTTTAGAGCGTGCTCTCAATTTCTGATTCATATTCTCTACCTTGGTCAATCAAATTGATAACTGAACAGCCCATAAATTTTTTCCTTTTTGCTTTCTTGTACAAGCTAAAAGCTTTGAATAGGTCAACTTGTTAATCTCATGCAACATTGCAACAAATGTGCTTTCCTGTTTGATTTCAATGCAATCTGAAGTTAATGAAAAGGGGATGGTTTTATATTCTTTTATATCATTATCTCTTTGATGCTGGACTTTGCCACTTCAGTATTATCCAACATTGCATGCCTTTTGTTTCTGTAGAAATCAAAATGCTTACATTAGTACTGCAGTTGTGTTTTAGTTCTTTGAGAACGTGTGAAAAGTAGAATCTAACTGGATTCATTTCATTATTAGATAAATGTTCTGATCTTTATGTGACGATGGACTAGCAATCAGTAACCACGTTGTAGAAAAGTCATAAAATTGATTTGTCCCTGGACGTTTTGCCATCTTTTTAGGCACTTTTTTCTTTTCACTGATTCTGTTACCAATGTTCTAAATGCTAGACAATAAACTAAATTATATGAACTAAAACTCTAATCCGAACTGAAAGCTTCGCAAGGAATATAAAAGTTTCTCTAGTTCTCATTTAAACAAGTTTTGCATGATCTGTATATGCATTTAAAAATATGAACCTGCTAGCTTGCATAAGATACTGTGCCACCTGCTACCTGTAATGATGTCCTCACTGCTAATTTTTTCCAATCATCTCCCTGTGAACTATATTTTCACACTGATATTTAAGATTTTATAAAACAAGTTGCAAACTCTCTTTGTTTACACTTCATTTGTTAAGCTAGCACTTCAGAGTTTATCTGGATATTTGTTTCACTGATACTTCTGTTTTATCAAAAATTAAAATAAAATTAAAAATAGTAATTAAATGATGGGCAGAGTGATACAGAAGTTAAACAATATAAATGAATGTGATGGGCCTTTGGAACCTTTTAAGAGGTGTATAAACGAAAGTATAAGGGTGAAGGAAGGGGAATTAAGAGTTTGGAGGGAAATAACAAACTGATGCCTAAGGGTGGGAGGGATGTGAAATTAGTTAGTAAGGATGCCATGTGGAAGGTAGTGAATGGAGAAGGGAAATTGGGAGAAGGTGTGAGGGATGATTCGGTTAGAGAGGAAGAAATAAAAGGAAAGGAAGTGGGTGGTGAAGGGCATGACAAGACTAACACTAAGAATGGTGATGAGGTTGTTGAATAGGGAGTCGTTTAGTAGCTAGGGAAGTGCTTAATCGAGTATTGTTACTTTTATATTTTGCAATAGTGTGCTGTTACGTGTTATGTAATTTTATTGTATTCTGAATAAAGATTTTATCTCAGTGGATATTGCGTAGTTCCATTATCGTATTTTTCAGTAACTTGAGGTCTATTTCTCTATTTCCTTTAGTCTGATATTCCTGGTACCAACATTTGGTATCATAGCACTTCCAATCTCGAGAGTGCTTCATGGTACAGACAAGGACTGAGAATAAAGTTGAAGGAGTGGAGCTGCAAACTAAGCGTCTGGAAGGAAAGATTGGGGGAGTGGAAGAATCAGTCCAACAACTGAGAGAGACGATCTTGGGATTCATTGATCGAGTGGATCAACACGGTGCAGTGTTTGGAACTAGTGGACGAAATATTGTGCACGAAGGAGGAATATGGGAGAGGTTAAACAGAAACTCATTGAATGCCAAGGAAAAACAACGGATATGGAGAGGGTTGAGGTTCCTTATTTCACTAGAGAGGATGCATATGGGGGTGGATCTTCCATGCTGAGTGCTATTTCAGGGTGAATTGCATTGTAGAAGATGAGCAAGTTGAACCATTTTTTATTCTTTTGGAAGGAAGAGCGTTGAGCTGGTTCCAATGATGGGAACAATTGAGAATAACGAGAATAAAGAGAATTGTGAAAAGGAATTACGTATATTATTAGACTGTATTCCTTAGTTAAAAAGGAGTACAATATATAGAGAAACAAATGGGCTTAAAGGAGAAACCCAAAGCCTAACTCAAATCCTAATAAAATAAGGAAACTAATATTTATAGATAATTATATGATTATTTATAGATATTCCAAGATAATTTTAATAATTTTAACACTCCCCCTTAAACTAGAGTATATATCATAGGCTCTAAGCTTGCTAAAGATATAATCTACACGTGGATTTCTAAGAGCCTTGGTGAAGATATGTGCAAGTTGATCATTGGAATTGATAAATGTGGTCTCGATCTCTCCAGATTGAATCTTTTCCCGAATGAAATGACAATCCATTTCAATATACTTGGTCCTCTCATGATAGACCATGTTAGAGGATATATGTAACGCAGCATGATTGTCGCAAATGAGTTTCACGGGCCGTTGTTTGCAAAGATGTAATTCCTTAACCAATTGTCTAAACCAGATGAGCTCAGAGGTTGCAATTCCCATTGCTCGATATTCAGCCTCTGCATTTCACCTGACTACCACAGTTAAAATTTCCTCCAAAGAGGACACAATACCCCGAAGTGGAGCTTCTGTCTGAGGGAGAACTTGCTGAATCAACATCTGAATAGCTACACACTTCAGTATGCCCTTTATCTATGTACAAGAAGCCTTTTCCTGGTGTTTTTTTATCCAAAATGAGAGTCACAAAGAGAATCAAGGAATTGACTTGCCACACTAACCGCTAGGAGATGTCTGGTCTTGTCACAGTAAGATAATTCAACTTCCGACCAGCTTGCGATATCGACCGAGATCTGACAATGACTCCCCTTGTCTTGTTAAGAGCTTAATATTAGGATCCATGAGTGTGTTGATGGGCTTACACCCTAACATACTTGTCTTTTCTAAGATATCTAAGGCATACTTTCTCTGACAAATGGAAATGCCCTGCCTAGATTGTGCCATTTCAACCCCTAAGAAATAATAAAGTCTGCCAAGGTCTTTGGTGTGAATTTGGCTAAAAACGTACTGCTTTAACTAATCAATCCCAACTTGAACGTTGCCAGTAATCTTGATGTCATCAACATAGATTAGGAGATAGATGCACTTATTAGAAGAGCTATTTCGATAAAAAACAGAGTGATCAGCTTCGCTTCGAGTTAAACTGAAGTTTTGAACAACGAAACTAAAACAACTAAGCGGAAACAAGAGTGTATCCTTTGGCCACTAAGCGGGATTTAAGGCGGTCAACATTGCTATCAGGACCAACTTTGACCGTGAATATCCATTTACAACCGACAATAGACTTCTCGGGAGGAACGGAAACAAGATCCCATGTGTCATTGGAGTGAAGAGTTGTCATTTCATCAATCATCACATGGCGCTACCTGCATAAGATAATGCTTCACCTGTGGTCTTAGGAATGACAAGAGAAGAAAGACTAGAAATAAAGGCAAAATGTTGTGAAGAGAGTCAGTAATAACTCGTAAAGGCATAAAGTGGATGAGGGTTGCGAGTGGATCGAATACCTTTGCAGAGGGCAATGAGAGAATCTTTGGTGGAGGCGCCAAAGGGGAAGAGACAATCGATTGAAGGTGGTGAGTCAGTCGAATTAAGGTCTGCAATAGGGATGACACCTGCAACTGGTAAAGACAAATCAAGAAAAGGAATGTGAAGATTATGATCAACCTGTGACACAAGAGTTTTGGAATAAGTGAAAGGTTGCTAATCAAGAAAGGTGACATCAACAGATATAATGTAGCGCTTGAGATTAGGAGAATAGCAGCGGTATCCCTTTTGAAAGCAAGAGTGACCAAGAAAGAAAGATTTGAAGGCTTTAAATGTTAATTTATCTTTTTCTGGAGTGAGATCATGAACAAAGCAAGTACACCCAAGAATACGTGGAGGCAGTGGATAGGGAGGTATACCTAAAAATAAAACATTGTGTGGGATTTCATTGTTATGCATAGAAGTGGGCATGTGATTGATGAGAAAACATAATAATAGTATCTGCCCAAAAACAGAGTGGAACATTCATATGAAGAAGAGTACGTGCGGTTTCAATCAGATGTCTATATTTACGTTCGGCCATTGCATTTTGTTATGGAGTGTGAGGGCAAATAGTTTGGTGTAACGTCCTTTGTTTTCTAAAAAATCAGAGAATTCAAAAGACACATACTCTTTAGCATTATCACTCCGCAAAACTCGAATAGAAGCACCAAGTTGATTGTGAACCTTAACACAATTTTTTATGGAGAGAAAATAATTCAAAATGATTTTTCATTAAATAAACCCAAGTGCAACGAGAAAAATTATCAATAAAGGTAACAAAATATTGAAAACCCGAGAGACATAGTTTGACTCGGATCCCAAATATTAGAATAAATAATAGAAAATGGAGTATCAGCTATTTTATTGACTTTACCAGTAAGTGTGCTTTCCTTGTCGACAGAACTGGAAATTTAAAGACTGAAGACAGGACAAAAAAGGAATCATCTGCTGAACTTTTGAGAGACTTAGATGACCCAGGCGACTGTGGATTAATTCAGGAGACTTCGTGAGAGAACAGGCCACTGGTGAATAAGGCACGTCCACACAGTAGAGCCCCCGTGACTCACGACCCACTCTGATCGTCTTCTCAGTATCCGGATTTTGCATAAAGACAACTTGGTTAGAGAAGGTAATGATGCATGAATGAGAATAGACTAATTAGCTAACATATATCAAATTAAAGGGAATGCCAGGTATATATAATAAACAGAGGTCAAAGTTGAATAAGGAGCTGACTGGCTTGCCCAACGCCACGAGCAGGGGCCTTGGCGCTATCAGCTAGAGTAACAGAAGGTAGATGATTAGAATAAGTGAGATAAAGAGGTTCTTATTACCACGAAGGTGAACTGTAGCACCTGAGTCAATTATCCAAGGTCCAAGAGATGATTGAGAAAGACAAGCAACATGATTACCTATATCTATAG